TATGAACTGAAAAGTTATCTCAAACATCATCAAGAAACTGAGTAGTTATTAAAACCTTCAAAAGATAACAATAACAGAATTCAGTTCATTCTGTCATCGAAGTTATCATTATGTTCATCCGCCGAATCAATCGGGTATCGCTACATGAATTATCGCTAATTCTATCATCTTAAAGGCTATAAAGGAAGAATGCTGTTCTTCTGTAAGACAATTCCCTGGGACAGAAACACGGCCTGATGAACTTCCAGCCTATAATCCAAACATACACCGATACACAACGAAAGGTGAAAAAGGTATGCTTGAATCAACGTACTCAATCAATCGCATCTCAATCAATCTTAAAGAAATGCATATTGGAATGTTCTGAAATATGCGGTCGTATCGGGCAGGTGTATGCATATCTCAAGAGACTGAATATTTGATTCGGCAAGATTTCTCTAAATAGAATTTAAATTCTATCAGAACGATATGAACAATATTCAGCAGTTTTTACCGAACTTTTGAGCATGTAAAACTCAGCAGTAAATTCGGTTCAGGTGAGCGAGGCGAACACGGTCCAAGTGGAGTTATGGGTCCAATGGGACCACAAGGACCAATGGGACCAATGGGTCCAATGGGTATACAAGGACCAATGGGACCAATGGGTCCAGCTGGCCCAGCCGGTCCGGCCGGCCCACCGGGTCCTCAAGGCCCTGCAGGACCAGCTGGTACTGGCGGCGCTCCAGGTTGTCCAGCACCTCCACCTGGCGCTACTCCAGGATGTGTTAGTGTTATTGCTTTTGGATCATTTCTTTACTTGCTCATCGAAAATTGAATTTTGATCTCGTTGATGCTCATTTTTGAGTCTCCTTCCAATTCATCTTTTTTACTTGACAGTAAGATATTCCAGGTTCAAGTATTTCAAACCTCAATTGAGTTGTTCTCAACAGCTGGTGGAACGTCACTTGGTTCACTCAGCTTCAGTATATCTAGTCAGCAACTTTTCATTCGTGTCAATGGTGGTTGGAAGGAAATTCGAGTAAGTTCCTCCCTCATACCAACAACCTCAATATCAATTCTTTGTCAGCTATTATTATTATGAACTTTGGATTATCTCAATAAGTTATTTATTTTTTGCGCTCTTTGATAAAAACGTTCGTTTCCGTTTAAATCATATCTATGAGCGCCTAAAAAATCACTTTGATCCTTTGGATGCACACTCTTCTATCCAATACGGTAAATCGCTAGTGCTAATTTCCTTTGAATACACATTCTTCGACTATGTCAGCTGATCAGTTTCAATGCACTAGATCAAACAGCCATATCAAATGGCATTATTTTATTAGTACTCAAAATGACCGTAAAAATCATAATGAAATAGCAATAGCTCCAAGTTTAATGTTTTGCCAATTAATCTTGCAAATCTGAGCTTATTTATTGCAGTTGGAAGGATTTCATCCAACCATGGAGCAACGACCTTCACTGGTAAGTTATCATTCACATAGTATTTACATTTCCAACTGAACATTCTTTTGAGGCGTGCTTGAGATGAACGCATGCAGTGATTAATTGCTTAATCAAATAGTTTAACTTGAATACAACACTTGTGAGAATATAACATCATCTTAACGGCCTTCTAATTGCAGCTAACAAGAATTTTTGATGAGGCTAAGCATATGCTCTCAGTTTATCTCGAAAGTGATAATTTTGACTTGTGTGATGACAACTTTTTCGCAATAAATCATATGATAAAATTAAAGCCTACTATTTCACACCTATGTATTTAGCCACTAAAATATTCCGTTGAAATCAACTCGTGAAATGAAATGAATCGAACCAATAACGATTTGCTCAGTGCAAATTAGCAATGTGTGTTGTGTGTGTGATTAATTCATTAATGCTTGAAGTGGCAATTTGTTTTTT